TTTTTTTTTTTTTTTTTTTTTTTTTTTTTGCGATGATCGTCGTTCCTAACCTTGACCCAAGAGGTAAGGAGTAGTCTACCAATGCTCTAAGGTTTTTCATAGAGCACGCTGATGGGAATCAGACAGCTAAGCCCGCGAGGCCAATGGTGGGACAACTCGATATCAACTTCGAGCCTGTACGACCTCGCCTTGGAGTTCGTGATGAAAGTTGGTTGCAAATGAGGAAGATTCGCTTTGAAAAAGTCCATGGGTAATTGCCAAACGTAAAAACGTCTTGGTCCCACCATGTACTCGCTCACAATTTTGCGACCACTCCATATTTGCTCCTTTAGATCTCGCTTGCAAGAATCGTAACGCACCAAGCCTCCTTTTGTCTTAACCATGACGTCAATGACGACCCTGACCGTCACCAGACGGATCATGAATGGTTCCAACTGCCGAACAAATTCCACACATTCACCAGGTGCGCAAAGCGAGTTTTCATGATACATCAGGTATTCGATGGTGATGCAGAGGAAGTCCAGGATCGGCGTCAGATGCCTCACAATGTTGAAACCAGGTCCTTGAGGAAGGTTCTTTGGCGGGCGAAACCCGACTAACGCTGCGAGCTCTTGCCTGTATTCCAGTCCCTTTGAAGACACCACCTTATCATATAGAGAGTCTTCTTTGAAGAAAGATCCTAAATGTGACAGGAGAGCCATGCTTCGACCCCAACTCGTTTTGTGAACAAGTTCTGCCCGTGGGCGAGCAAAACACAGAGCTTTTTCAAGCTGGGGTACGATTTGGGGCTTGTGATTCAGTACTGGCATGTCCCAGTCGATCTTACCTGTTTGCCTTGCCAGAGACCCAGTCGCGTCTAGATGGCTATATGTGATGATTGTAGTGGTCCACATAATGTTTTTCTCAGGCGTGGCACGAGTCTCCTGGGATAGCAAAACCGTGTCGTACTCAGCCAACCTGGCAACCTCTTTTGCTGCCACAAGGTGTGGCTGAAAATGCTTCCGTCTAAACTGGCCTAGAACCACCATTGTACGAGGGTTCGGGAAGGGATTCTCCCTCCATGCCTCTGCAACGTACGGCCTAAATGCAACTGGTATACGTAAAATTGTCGTGCCCAGCTTCGAAAATGGCCAGTCGGGACTCCATAAGGTGACCGACACTTCAAGGGCATGTGATGTTGCTGCACAGTAAGAGACAAAAGTGCCCGAACAGTTTGGAAACTTGCACGAGAAGCTGGAGGTTGGAATTTGTACTGTCCGCAGCAGAGTGTCAAGCTTTTGTCCAACCTTATCATCAGTGTCGAGCAATGTTGCCATACGGGTGGATTGCTGCAACCAGTTGGGATATGAGCTTGACATCACAATAGCCTTGGCCGTTACGCCAACGAGGCGCAAAGATGAAGGCGGGCTTTCTTCGAAGCGGGCTTTTAAGCAAAGGAATTCACTGATTTGTTGACCCGGAACGACCACCGGCTTAGCATATCTTACCGTCAGCGGAAATGCCAATGGAGGAAGCAAAGATGCTTCAAGAGTGAAAGACTTGTTGTGGACATCGACCTTACTGGGTTTTGGAAGTACATGGACGTCAATATCCATGTCGATGTCACAGGCGGCATGTCCGTAACCTATGACGCATCTGCCAACCTTTGCATTCTGGTTGGACCGAAAATACCAAAACAGATCGTCTGAGGGATAGCATTCCCTGTACTCTATGAAGGTTTTCTGACGCTTTCTTTCCATAGACTCGAAGTAATCAGTGTCAGTGTCAGTGTCAGGAACGTGGGCTCTTCTCCTCCAAGATGTTGTATGAAAGTCCTTAATCTCCAGGCATTTGTGTTGGCGGATTTTATAATATTGTTTCTCCGGACAACAGCCCCGGCCATCGATACGTTCGGGTGTAACCTCACGAACATGAACATCACCATCATCCATCCTATCGAGCACAACCTCGGTTACCTCCAAGTACGCGTCACGAACGCGATATTTACGTGTTGTGTGAGAGACATATCGATTTCGACGATCCATCTTCCTCCATCCTCCATTCTTAGGAAACCATATGAATCTTAGGTCGTCCAACAGAAAAGTCGTCTTTTTTTCTTTATCTTCCTCATAAAAGTCTACCAACAGCAGGGTTGACTTCACGTCATCACAACCTTCTACGGCAGTTCTGTGCAAAATGTAATGCCGCTTCAAGTTCAGCATAGTGTGATCAGGAGGAGAACACACTTGGATGTTGGCTGAAATGAGGACAGAGACGAGTGGAAGTGAAGGCGTGAAATAAGTGCTTTTCGGTCATGTTTCGTCCAAGACTTTCCTTGTTGTTGAAAAATGGCTTTCTGACTTTGCCTTATCCCAAACTCGTAGGTTTAAAAGAGCGAAATGAGGCATGTATCGAACATAACGGGAAACAACGAGAATGCAGCGGAGATTTTCTTTATTAGTGGCGTATACGAAGGACTCCGTTCCTTCATGCTTGCAAACAAAACTCGTCATGCTGAAAATCGTTGCTTGCACCTTCCAAAGCCGTGTTGAAGATGCTATAAGGGAAGATGCTATAAGGTAAATCGATGCACCGATCTTGTCTCAGGCCAATTCGAGCAAGACTTCTAAATTCACATGATCCGAGGCCGAACATGCTTGAATTTCCACTTATACATCAGAAGAAATCAAGTATCAATCACCGGTTAGTGCATGGTAGGTTCGTACTGATAGGTCTCGGAGTATCACCACCACGCATACAGGAAAGTTACCCTGGAGAGTTCATACCATAAGCTCTTCCTATACACGGATATTCTTAAGGTATGTTTGCCGGTTGATTCGAAATACTGACTTTTTATGAAACGGCCTGCAAACTGTAGTGTTCTTCTTATGCCTATAACCAACTATGACGTCATTGCTTGTGGATTTGATTGAGTCGTCAGGTTTTCCTATGAACCATTGGCCTTTTTTAAGTTAATGGTGGTTTTAGAATCGAGAGATTGCCTTACAATGGACGAGCTGCAAAGACAGAGTAGTTTGCATGTGTTCATGAGATCAAGTGACAGGTAGTGTTGGTATATGTATGGACAGGTAAGGCTTTTGGAAGAAGTAGCCAATAAGGTTTGAGAAATCCTCCAGGATAAAAGAGATGGGTATCCAAGTCCTCAGAATTTGTGCTCTATTTTGACGACCTTAAAGCAACGGATGGGTTAATTGAGGAGTCTAATATTCCTAGGTAGGCCACTTTTTGAGTAACTTATAGCAGCGGAGGCTCAAATAGCATAAACCAAAGTGGAATTCGATCAACGTTGAATCAAAGAAGGTTCGCCTGACTAGTACATAAAAAAAGGGAGAAATCTTCATCGACCAATCTCAGAACGAAAGACAGCTGATTGTCGAAAACGGTCTAGCCTCGGGAGAACAATGCCCTCATTACAACGGTTTCATCTAGACTGCCAAAATGAAAATTCGAAACCCCTTTTTTTCCAACCCACAAAATCAACGGCCATTATGACACAACGTGGGCATTTAATTGCACCTTCCTAGAAGTGCACTATAAGTGCCCCTGACATGAATAATGGCCAATTGCAGAACCCCAAATCCAGGCCTTCCCAAAAATCTACTCAATTATCAAAATCCCAAAAAGTATCAAAATCCCAAAAATCAACCCTCCAAACCCTATTCCCATATCTGTCCAGACCCTTACGTATTGATCTTCTCGTTTGCTCACTAAGCCCCTCCTACCCCACGATCACCTACCGGACTTCTTCAAACACCCATACTATTTCAAAACAACACTGCCGAATTCTGCAGAAAAAGCCAAAACCATCTAGACCTTAGACGGACAATTTGACAAAATGCCCCGCAGGAGACCGCCCTCCCCAAATTGCCCAAACCGTCCGAAGTTTCCATATCTCCATTGTACTCCCTAAGCGATGCACTACGAGCATTGTGTGGAAGGTTAAAAAGGGCTTCCACATGGCTTGGCACGTGCCTCTCGCACGTGGACACCACTTAAATAGAATTGCCCTTACAAACCCCTCCGTTTACTTTTGGGCCCAGAGAGGCTGCTGGCTGCCAATGGCTGCAAATGAAGGGGCCCTTTATGGTGGTACTGCATATACGCACCCGTTTCCGGCCCGTTTCCGCCGGACCACTGTGGGCCGAGCGCCATTGCCCAGCGGCGTCTCGATGACCATCAAGAAATGTGCCCCTTCTGCTGTCTAGGTCAGCCATTGCCAAGCGTGGGTGTGGCTCCAGGGCCCATTTTTTTGGGCGGTTCGTGATTATATGCAGGACATCAGCTCCCTCGGAGCGAAGTCCGAGAAGGCTCGAAAAGGGCAGGTCTTGAAGGGCACAAGCAAATTTTTTTATGTTCTTAAGGAAATTAAGTAGCTGCAAGGGCTTTGCGGCCACTGCCACCTGACCACCCCCATCACGACAATTTGTAATCTGCCGGGCTGTCAGTGGCTATCGGAGCCTTCTCTGCAGGACATCGACACTAGATACTCAAAAATTTAGTCATTATCTATCTAGCAGAGGTTACCACATACTTGTTCCAAACACACCCCGCGGGCCACAATCAACCCTCCATTTTGTGCATCACCTAGACACACCTCCTTTTCCCACTGATTCCATTGAATATCCGGAAAAAGCAACTATATGTCCCAGGGCCAGGAAAACAGTTCCCTTGCTGAGTTGATCAAACGAGAACGTGCCAACCTGATCTCCAACGCTGTGCTCCAGCATCTGAGGCTGAAGGGCAAACGTGTGACCTTTGACGAAAACGGCAACCTTGTGCTTGGGCATTACAAATACGGTGGCAGTAACTCCAAGAGTAACCAGGGCAGTCATGCCAATCTGGGCCTTACTCTGTCCGGTCTGCTGGGCCAGGAGTCTCGTGACCTGTCTTTAGAGAATTCCGACGACGAGGATGCCGACGATGAGGATGCCGACGACGACGGCGAGACGGATTCCAAGAATGAGCGGAATTCCAATAGCAAAAGCAGACTGGGGCTTTCTGGAAGATCACATCTGGCTTTTCTGGCAGCGAACTTGCTGGCGTTGAAGCGTTTCCGGTCCCATCCACACGCCTCCACGTCCATGGGCGAGTCCCAGCTGTTGGAAGGAGCGTACTTCTCTCACCAGAACTCCCAGTTCAACCTTCCTGAGTTCAACAAAAGACCGCTTACCGATACGCCCATAGTTTCTGGAGTAGCGTCTCCAGAGACTCGGGAGCAGAGCGAAAGCGAGAGCGAAGAACCGCTGGCAAAGGAGGAAAAGAGGCATTTCAAGAACATCTCCCACTTGAGCCTAGCGGACTTGAATGCGGTTTCTGCCAAGGTGGTTGACGCTTCCAGGCCTCTGAGCGGCTCAATTCTGCCCAAGTCAATGGCCAAGGGCGTCAAGACTCTGCTGATCCCAGCGCTAGACGTCAAAGACGCACCTTCTGCCCCTGCTGCTCCTCAAGAACCCAAAATCAAGCCCGACTTCACTGTGGATCCTGTTGAGCAGGACAAGCAGGCGGTTGAGTCGGAGAAAAAGGCAAAGAAGGAAAAGAGCAAGGGCGAGCGTGCCGAGAAGCAGAAGAAGAAGGCAGACGCTAAGATTCTTGCGGAGATCAAGCAGAACCTTCTTCAGGATGTCCCCCCCGAGCTCCAGCATCAGTTTGAGAAATCTCCATCCATAGAGCAGCTCAAGAGCGTTCTCCTCCTGAGTCCCTTCCAAAAATCAAAGAAAGCATACACACTCAACATCCCGGGCCAGACCTCGTCCAAGACATCTCCAGACGGCCACATTGCCTCTGTCGATGTGGGCTCCAAGTTGGTCATTGTCATGGTCGGGCTTCCCGCCCGAGGCAAATCCTACATCACAAACAAACTTACTCGTTACTTGAACTGGCTTCAACACGACTGCAGAGTGTTCAATGTGGGAAACACAAGAAGAATGGACAAGGAGAACATCCTTGGACCTGCCCAAAAGCCTTTGCCTGATACCAACACTCCATCGCCTCACACTGGCCGGTCTCCAGAAACCAAGGCATCTGCGTCCCATATGGCTGATTTCTTCAATCCTGAGAACAAGGCATCCAACGAGCTTCGTGAGAAGTGGGCCATGGATACCTTGGACAACTTGCTCAACTGGGTTCTTGACGGTCCGGGTTCGGTTGGTATTTTGGATGCCACGAACTCCACCAAGAAGAGAAGACTCAAGGTCCTCAAGAGAATCCAGGAGCGGTCCAAGGGCGAACTCAAGGTGCTTTTTATGGAGAGCATCTGCTCTGATCCTGCTATCCTTGACACCAACATTCGTCTTAAGTTGTCTGGTCCAGATTACAAAGACATGGACCCCGAGGTGGCTCTCAGAGATTTTGTCGGCAGATTGCAGAACTACGAAAGGGCATACGAAACCATCGACGATTCCGAAGAGGAGATCGACGGCTTCCAGTACGTGAAGATGATAGACGTCGGTAAGAAGGTGGTGAGTTACAATGTCCAGGGCTTCTTGGCCTCGCAAACGGTCTACTTTTTGTTGAACTTCAACTTGTGCGAGAGACAAATCTGGCTTACTCGTCACGGTGAGAGCACTGATAACCTTAGCGGCCGTATTGGTGGAGACGCCTCGCTTACAAAGCGTGGTCAGCACTTCTCAAAGACCCTTACCCGTTTCTTGAACTACCAGCGTAAGGAGTTTAGAAAGAAGCAGCTCGAGAAGTTCTCGACCAGACTCGAATTGCGTTTCAACGAATTGGCAGGTACCAAGAAGGGTTCCAAGAACGGATCGGCTACTGACAAAAAGGCAAATGTGGGTCACATCCCGACCGAACCAAGCTTCTGCGTTTGGACTTCGATGTTGATCCGTGCTGTTGAGACAGGAAGCTATTTTGACGAGCTGGCCTACCACATCAAGGCCATGCGTATGTTGAACGAGCTCGGTGGAGGCAAGTACGAAGGCATGACCTATGACGAGATCAAGAACAAACACCCCAAGGAGTTCGAGAGCAGGATCAAAAACAAGCTCACTTATAGATACCCCGGCGTGGGAGGCGAATCCTACCTCGATGTCCTTGTTCGTTTGCGTCCGGTGATCAGTGAGATTGAAAGAACCACTGATCACCTCTTGATCGTCTCGCACAGAGTGGTTTTGCGTGTGCTTCTCGCCTACTTCCTTAATTTGGACAAGTCGTCCATTGTCGACTTGGACGTGCCATTGCACACGTTGTACTGTCTTGAGCTGAAGCCATACGGTACAGAGTACGCCATGTACGAGTACGATGAGCATGCCGACTGGTTCAAGAAGATTGAGCCCGAACACCAGAAGAACGTGAGAGAGGTCGGCGTCAACTTCCGTGAAAGGAAGTACTCCGTCATTCCTACGGCTCCACCCAGCTCGAACGGTCAAAGAAGAACCACCATCGGCAGAACCGGCAACAAAGATGCCGTACCAAGACAGATCGGCAGCACTGCTCTTCGCAAGAGTATCAGTCTTGGAAACGGAGAAGGCACCAACGAGCCTGCCGTGCCTACTCCATTTACCGAAGGCGTCAGAGTCAATTCGCTGAGCTCCAGGAAACTTGCTGACTTGAACAAGTTGAGAAACCCCGGAGCCAGCCAAACCTGAGCCCGAATATACCATTTCCGCTTTTCCCCATTGAGCCAAGGGTGCGAGGATGCCGCCCCAATCACGAAAAATCACGTCCCATTCTCCTGATTTCGCCAAGTCATGCTGTCCTCCTCGGCTATCTTGAAGCCACCCAGGACAATGGTTGCAAAACGCGATATACTAATCATCACGACACATCACGAACGAGCCCGCCCACCAATTACGCTTCACTTTTGGCAAGTTTGACCTCTTTTCTGACTCTTCCACCTCGTCTCCTAAGCCTTTGCTCTTCAGCCGTGTGGTTGCCTAAATCGACCCGGGGTCTGGGGAAAGACACCCGTACACCACACTCACGCTTCAAATCTAGAACCGCAAGACCAAACCTTAAACAAGCCCAAGAACGCTGGATACACCAAAATAGCCTGAATCGTCCAAAAGCGGTTTTTCAAACAAACCATGTCTCTGGAGAAACCCCTGCTGTCCAAAAACCACAGGCGTCTTTCCATCAGCATCCCTCCAAACCAGGGGCTTGGTGGGGAGGAAGCCTCAACGAAACAGGCTGAATCCACAGAAACCAAACCGAAAACAGGCCCGCAGCCCGAGTCTGGCGTTTCTTCTGCTGTTCCCGGAACTCCCAGTGTGCTGACGCCTCAAGGCCAGCCGCCACAAGCTCAATCCAGTTTTCCCCAAGTTTCTAGCGGTTCTGGAAGCCAAAATAGCACGGGACAGGGTTCTCTGGCTAACCACAGCTCTGCTAATGTCGCCGAGGGTCCCAGCGTGATCAACAAGCAGCTTTTGTCGAAGTTGAACAAGTCTTTGAAGGAGAAGCAGCGGATCATTAACAACAAGACAGACTCGAGGAATCCCGCTTTGATCCAGGATATCGTGACTACGCTGCCTCAGCACGCTACGTTTCCAGGTAACGTGAGCTCGGAGAAGGCCGAGAAGGAGAAGGACGACAAGGCCGACAGTGGAGCCAATGACAAGGGCGAAAACGGTAACGATGAACATCTACATCCGCCAGGGCACAGCCGAACAGAAACACCGCTTCTGGGCTTGCCGCCTGTGAACGGGAAGCTGGAGCAAGATACGAAAACCAAGACGAAAAAGCGTATCGCCAAGCAGAACTCCACCAGAACCGACTTTTTCGCTGCTAAGCTCGCCTCTGCTGTAGACGACGTGGACACGTCTGACAGCGACGAGACGTTCGTTTACGAAAACAGCAATAACGACTTCGACGGCAGCAACGGCGGTGGCGTTGCAGGACCCGCTATTCTACATCCAGACGACAACGACATCAACAAGCCTCCCACGGGGATCTCTCTCGTTCAAGACAATATCAGTGCCGCTGCAAGCCTAAGAAACCCTACGCCGCTTGGCCTGATAGCCCACAGTCCGTCGGTGGAAGCACGCAAAGAGCTCGGCGACGAGAACACCACTAATAACCAACAACAGCATACTCAACTAGCGCCTTCGGCGCCTCCTCGTGCCGAGCTGATCCACTCTGTCCAGTCGTCAAAATGGAATCTCAGAAGCACCGTCGGGACATCCAATACCACACCTCCTTCAACCACGGCTTTGCGTGGACAGCCTCAACAACCCAACGTCATGAGCGTCTACGGACTGGGTCTGGGTTCCAACTCCGATGTCCATCTGTACGCCAACCCATACATTGACCAGAACAAGTCGACCACTCACAAGGCGGGCCGCAAGTCCAGTTCGAACTCCTTGGTCAATCACGATAAAAGCAGCATTCATCCTCACCAATCACCACGTTACGCAGCCTCGAATCAGAACTTTGGGCTGTCTTTGAACTCTCCTGTGGCTCCCAGCGTCAATGGTGACCGCTACAGTTTCGAAGACGGAATCATGGGTGACGAGGTGTCGTACCAAGGCGACGCTGCGCTGGTTTGTACTGATTTCAACAACACCGTTACTCAGAATTCGGAGAGCGCTAAGCCAGAGGATCACTTGGCCAGCCGCAGCTCCGACAGAAACCAACGGTCTTCCACAACATCGCTGAAGCTTCGCTCGACCACTTCCAAGTTGTTCGATAAGAAAGGCGCCCAGCCTCGCCGCTACAGCATCATCCCCGACGACATCGACATTGAGGATTTCGATGACGACCTAATTTATTACGACAACAACATTCGCTTTCCCTACAACAGCCAGAATGGCAGCCACCTCAACGACACGGCGTCGTTGCTCAATAATAATCATCACAGAATGACCCACTACCGCTCGTTGAACTTGTCCAACCCTGGTCCTCGCCAGCAGCAGCTGCTCAACAACAAGCGGTATGCGTCAATGGGCTTCCCTTCGCCCACAAGAAACACAAGGGGACCTTCGCAGGGCAACAACATCTATCCCTTCCCGTACCTGGACCAGAAGTACTACTTTGATCCTGAAAACTACGACGAAGAAGCGAACATGGAGAGCCCTGACGAAATACAAAGCAAGTCTTTCTTCAATGGCCGAAATAAGCTCTCTCCGAGCAACACACACTTTAGACTACCCCGGAAGGTGTCTAGCGATAGCATGAAAGGCGGCCACGTGAGATGCTTGAAGAGCTTCGTTTACACCATGGTGAGCATCTTGATGATTCTCGCCATTGGCTTCGTGCTGGGTTTCCTTCTCGCGTCCACCAAGGACCTCTCCAATCTTTCTATCGTGGGTGTCGAGGACGCACTTGTTAGTCAAGACGAGTTGCTCTTCAATGTCGTCGTTGAAGCGCTCAACCCCGGCTGGTTCACGATTTCCATCGAGGACATTGAGATTGACATTTTCGCCAAAAGTGGCTACGTCCAGGACCCCGACCCTGGAGTTGCCAAGGACTCGGTGGAGACGGTGCTTCTCGGCAGCGTGACCAGCTTCGAGACGATGTTGGATTTCCAAGGAAGCTTCTTCCAGCGTGACTACCAGCAGCAGTCTGGAGAGATCAAGTTGGTGGCGCCCGGAAGAAACCTCACAGGAAGTATCGACTCGGCGATCTTGCAGAAGAGCTTGGGCGGGTACGACGAAACAGAGACGCCTCCGGACAACTCGGAAAAGTGGGAAGTCATCCGGAAGCATCCGTTTGATCTCATCTTGCGGGGTGTCTTGAAGTACAAGTTGCCATTGTCCAGCAGCGAGAAGTCGGCGACGGTGAACAAGGTCAGTTTCATTGACCCCAACACGTCACAGGGCCTAATTTAGGCAGCCTAATTTAGGCAAATAGGATTTACATGGGTTATGTTAACTCGGCGTAGGCATTACTTCTCTGAGATGATGGCATCTATCCGGGGTGAAAGCACCCTGGTTACTGGAAAATCTTACTATGAAGATCGCCAAAACCGTCTGCAAAACGAGGTTTGAGCCAGACCTTGAACTCCTTTGGTTCAAAGGACGTTGCAGAAGGACACAGGTTGTTTTTGAACGGATCCATTTCCATTTCGTCCGAGGCACTGAGTGGTCTTTTGATGTGGAAAACGAGAACCATTCGACAAAGCAAAACGTAGAACTCCTTGACGGCCAAGGCGATTCCGGAGCATTTTCTCGAACCTGCTCCAAAGCCAAAATGACGAAGATGTTTTTCGTCCACGATTTTCCCGTTTTCATCAATCCACCGTTCAGGAATGAACTCGTATGGGTTCTCAAAAACCGCCTCATCGTGGTCCGCTGCAAAGGCGTTCATAAGGAGAATTGTGCCGCTGGGGATCAACATGCCGTCGAAAAGAACATCCTTAGTTGTTTCCCGAGGAAGCGATAGCGGCAAAACCGTGAAAAAGCGCATGGTTTCGTGGATCAACGCTAGAGCGTATGTGGAGGTGTTTTCACACGCCACGCCGTCCCACGCCGCCGAGGAATTTTCATAAATTTTTGTGAGCTCCTTGAAAAGCCGTTCTTGCATTTTGTACCCTTTTGGCGTCGCCAAGTGGCCCATAAGATGGTCAAAGCTCAAGGCGATGTTGTCCAAACCCGCACTGACCATGGTGAGACAGATACTCTTCGTTTCAGCCAGGGAAAGGCGGCCGGGCTGGGTGAATACTCGTCCTAGGAGGCACAGGGCGGCGTCGGGGCGGTTTTTCTGCAAATTACGCTGGAAAACCCGGAAAAACTCGTCCATGTACTGGTCCCTCGATTTTGCAGCCATTTCTGCCTTGGTGGAAAAGGCAAGTTTTCGAACGCCAGGGAGGTAGTCCTGGTAGTTGGCGAGCGGCAGCCGGAGCCGGATGATCTGGTTTTCCGTTTCCACAACGGTATTGGCCAAATCGTGGTGTTTTCCATACGCTTCAAGGCGGATTCCATAGGTGTACTCCAAAGCGCAGCCTAGAACGAAGTACTGAGCATCACGGAGAAGCAGGCAATCGTCGTACGGCGTTCTGCAGCCAAACCGGGCCATGCTCTGTCGAAGAAGATGCTGTACGGTTTTGGCAGACTGTCTGTGGACGATTTTGGCTGCCCAATCCAGTCCCACTATCTGTGGAGAGAGCTGCTTTCCAATACACTTTTTTTTCCGTTGACAAGAAGCTCCTGCCGGCGTCAGACCAACAGTGAACCCCTGGGTCGCCGAAACAACATTGTGAAATGTGTGGAACACCGGTCGGGAGCCTGTAGCCAGAGAATGGCGGATCCACAATTCAGAGGCATGTCTGTGCGAGTTGACCACGAGGACCGGGGTTGTTCCGAGGCGGATTACGAAGGACGGTCTGTTGTATTTTTTTGACCATTCCATGAACGCCCTGGCCGGGTTGTTCTGGACGAGAAAAGCGTGGCCGACTATGGGGAAAGTGGGTAGATGGAGGGCGCCTGGAATGGCTGATTTTCGGTTAGCAAGGGCCGCCAGGGCGAGGACGGCCGAGAGGAGAAGGAGGAGAAGTAGCAAGAAGAGCATGGAGAGGTGGGGCTATGGCAGAAGAGGAGGGGTGGGGGAGGGAGAGTTTTGGTCGCTTTTGTGTTGACGTGGTGGAGTTTGGGGTGAGGTTTTGAGAGTTGGACAGGGAGGTTTAGGGAATGGGAGGAAAGGAGGTTATGGGGTTTGGGAATTGGATTTTAATGCGTTGGGAGGAGTTTGAAGGTTTTTAAGTGCTTGGAGGTTTTGTGGGTGCTTGGAATATGGGGAAGGAGGATTGTGAACTGTAGGCTGGTTAAAGGTGGGGGTACAATTTCCTGGTCAAGTCATGATATTCGAGGGAGGAAGTGGAGTGGAGGGGAGTCATGATGACGAAAAATTTGAATTTGCTGCTTTCGTGATGTTTTGGAATGGCTGGTGGGATGGCTGGATGGTGGAAAGGGTAGGGGTTTCAGATCTAGTCTCAATCCTATAGTGATCAGCATTTCAACAGAGTTATGTCACCGACAACCAAAGTGGTATCGTAAAAGGCTGAATTTTTCAATTTGGGAAAGAGTGCCTTAAAAGCCCTCTTATAGTGTAGTCGTTTGGCTGATTCAGGTTGCTGTTGGTGGTTGAACGTTGTGCTAAACACACTGATGGGTACCATCCCCAAGGAAGAATTAATTCGAGATTTTGACAATTAGAGCCGTTATCTGGGCCTCAGGAAAAATCAAAAATCAATTCAGAGATCTGGGTCTCTTCCCTTTCAAGTCGTTCATAGCCTGCTGGTCAAGATCGTCCTGCCATTTCGTAAACCAAAGCGAATCCGGGCACCCTTCTGTCACAATCTCCCCTTCAACACACAAACTCCCTGAACCCCTGAACTACCCCAAATCCCTGAACTCCCTGAAACTTCCTAAATTAAAATATCCTTCAAAACAGCCCTCTCTGAGACCCCGACTTCTCCCCAAAATCAACCAACCCTGTCCAACCCAACCTTACCAGATTGGGCCCAACCCTACCAGTAACCCAACCATCCCCCCAGCATAGCCGCCAATTTCGTCATACCGCATTAGCCCTTGCCAATTGTTGCCTCAATGTATGGTTGGCAAAAGTCAGTCCCCTCTACATGACCCGCTTTGACTCACCTTCCATTTCTCCACGCCAGCATCTCCACAAAACGCCCCAAGCAGCGTCTCTTTTATAATTTCCCAAACCAAACAAAACGCTCCAACAATCGCCTGGTCGCGTGCTGGCCAGCATTGTGCAACAATGATACTATCTCGGTTTCGTGAATCACGGAATGTCGATTTTGTGAATCCGCCCAGCAGCGTGATCTTGTGGCTCACAGCACGCTATTGTGGCCCCGGCAGAAGCGACACGGTGTGCTTTTCATTTGTGGAACGTTGCCAGCAAAATGGGAATCTTGCACCATCAATGGTCGAACGATATTGTTCAGGTACAGCCGAGGGTGTTGCCCCGAAGGGAAGGACAAAAAGTTGCAGAGAGAAAGGAAGAACGAAGCTTTATCGAGTGATCTTTTAGACGTACCGCTGATGTTGCAATAACCTCTACGTCCTCTACGTCCTCCACATCCGAATTGGGCTTTCCCTGTTCAAGCCTGGCTTTCTTGGCTGAATCACAAAATGACCGTTTCCATTAAGCCCAAGCGGCTCGAGCGTTTCTTGGTCCAATGGTCAAAACGCCAGCCGCAACGGCTCAATAAGTATTGCTCCCTCGTGGGCCAAGCGATAAGGTGTCTCAGTTGCACTTGGCGAAAGGTTATGAGTGGTTACGAACGACGGAGAGCTCGGGGAATCTGGGTAAGCGAAGTGGGTAAGCGAGACGTCGAGGCAAGAGTCACAAAGCGGGGGGCTCCGGTTTAGCGAAGCGGTTGCTCCCGGCGTTTCTTTGAATATTGGAGGTTTGAGGGATTGAGCTTTGAGTGGATAGAGAGATTTAAGCTAATAATGCCATTGCTGCAAATACGTATTTTCCTCGATGCACTGAAATCTAGAAATTTACTACTATTTACAAAATGTAAGCCTTTGTGACTTCCCAGACCCTGACTGGAGCCACATGGATGTACGACCACTAAAGCGTAGTAAGGTGTAGCGAAAGACAAAAGTGACCTTTTTTTCGAAAAAGTCGGAATCCCGCAAGATAGCGTCTGGTTGTGAGCTGCAGCGGGGAGAACCCCCGGAGGCTCCCCGATAATGCCAACCCAGAAGCCAGATAATGGGACGCAGGGCTAAAGCTGATAATGCAGCGGATTTTCTTTTCCGGGGGTTTTAGAGACCCAGGGCTGCTGGTACCTGCCTGAGCGTCATAGTCCGTGCCTTTGCGCCGTGCATGCCTCGAATTTTTAAAAGCTTACAAAACGACCTCAGGTAAGTCAAGCTAAATCGCCTGGTTGGTAGTAGAACGGTGGGGAAGGCTTAGACGGAGATGCTGCCGGATTTGGCCAGGTGCAGCACGTCACCGTTGATCCTTGGGAGGTTTATCCGCTGGCGCGCATGTGAGGGAAGGTTTTCACGAGATTGCAGCATATCAGTCCCGGCATGTGCTACGGTGGAACTGTGGATGGGGAAAATTGCTCATCTTTGCTGGCGACAGGCCGGACGTATGGAAGCCACGAAAGAGGGGCGGCAGGTCGGGAGAATGTTTAGCCAGTTTTTGCTTGTACGTTCAAATCCGCCGGTATCTCGCCGAGTATGCCAAGGACCCCATGAATGACGAAAACCCACAGGACCGATCGCCACAAAAGCCTCCGAAGACAAAGAGGCGGATGTTTACGGGCGGTGTTATCAGAAGCCGTTTGGTGGTAGAACCACTGCTACAGCAGTGCTAAAAGTGTGGATGCAGCCGGCAAAAACCGGGAAAATTGCAACCACCGTTTTCATGAAATTTCGGTTTCTTGAGCGTTTTTCGGCCTCCTCCACCCCTGGTCACCACCACGGTGGTAGTGTGGATTGTCCCCGGGTAAACATCCCCCAAGCACTATTGTCTGCATTATCTAGGCTCGAGAATGGAAGCCAGGATGCCACGGTGGACCCGGCAGAAGTAGCCTGTTTTGCGTCACCAAAAGCCCTCGGATCGGGCCGTCACGTGGAACCTCCCCAAAACGCACAAAGCAGTCAATATGTCTTGCGGATAAACTGCCAGATCTCTCAGATAAGCTTCTGTTTAGGGTGGAGGGGTGTACGGTTGACTAGGAAGCGGAAAGAGGCTGCTGTTTTTGCAGGCGCAAATGAATTGTGTCAAAGTAAGCCACGGGGCTGAAATGGCGACGTCATCTCGAGAGTAACGGGGTTATCCTGTGTTTCCATTGGCTCAAACGGTGTCAATTGTCACTTGTAGTGGAGGGTGGTTTCTGGTTGATCAGATCTGCAAGTTTTCGGAATGCTCCAGATCCGTAAGCGAGCGGTAGTTTTCGTGACAATGGGGTGCTGCTTGAAAACGTGGTACAGAGCTGGTTTTCACGTAGGTATCGCAGTTTGCAACCATACAATCAGATAGCCGAGTTGACTGAGACACAAAGTGGTGGAGCCCCAAAATGTGTTTCACCTGGTGCACTAATCATGTTTTGCTTTCTTTAATCGTAATTCGCCACTTTCTTTATTCTCCTCCTCCGCTTCCTTCACCTTCCCTCCCGTCCTTCTCTCCTCACGTTTCTGGCAAAGTTTGACCAGATTGAGTAGCCATTTATGACAGGATAATGGACAGACCCTCGATCTTGGACATAATGGGGGCGTTAAATCGCTCAACTGTGGAGCCGGCATTGTGTCTCGTACACCGAGGCCGCCAATAGCTGCCAATGCGGGATTCTACGTTATAGACTTACACAAATGCGTTTAGTTTCACCACAATGGTCTGAAACGGGGTTTGGCGGGTATTTGGAGAATTGCTCGATTGGTCGGAATGCAGTGTCCGTGTTGGGGAAGTGGGCAGAAGATCTTAGAGGAGGTTGGGGGGGAAGCTACGGATTTATTGCTACAAACAGTGCTACTAGGTTATTGGGTGGATTGGTTTTGTTCCACTTCCAGGTAAGCGAATAGTCTCTCAGCCGTCCTGTACGCGCGGTGCATGCCTTTAGAGGGTTTTTATTTGGAGGCACTTCCGAGGGCACTGAACTCCATAGTTTCGAGGGCTGCCTTCAGGGGGGGCTTACCGCGGCTAAACTACCACCTTGCCTAGGCGGGCTCGACGAGGCTGAAACCTGCACGCAGCCGTCTCGAGTTTCTGCGATCTGCCCTCGGAATAGTCGCACCGTCCTCCGGAACCTCCCTACCTTTTAGTGGAGGGCCGTCCTGCAGACAGAAACCTGTCACCGTATCTGCATGCTGGCTTGTCGATCTGGAGATGTGCATTGCAAGATATACTGGCTGTATTTCGTCACTGTTCAGACTTCAACGCTGGTTTTGAATGGTTTTGCTTTGTTTGATTGAAGCCCGGCTTTATTATGGGCGATCAGCCGCTTGGGGAATGCCGCCACGTGGGGGTCACGTGACCCCATTTATACGTCATTCCCAGGCTACAGCTTCCACGCCCGCCACGGGCGCACCGCCAGCCCGCTCAGTTAGCGGGATTAAGCTGCAACCCACGGGCGGCTTGTGCTGTTACTGCCCCAACGGCCTCGATCGTCCGGCGTCATATGCAAGTAGTACATCATGCCGTTACCGAAATTATCAAGAAAGTGTCCCCCAAAACGCCCCTCAGCGGGTTCCATGCACAGTCACCCCCGGCGGTCGAGGGCAGTTTGGGGACGCGGGTACGCCATCTAAGCTGCATGATGCATAGAGGTACGTTTCATTCCCTATGCAGGCCGTGCATGGCCCCAATTCAACCATCAAAGGGTTTTTTTTCGTCGCTCCTGCAGGCAGAGCAACCGGGCCCCAGAACCACAGGCCGGGATATCACAGCCTGAATCCCACATATATATAGGCGAGTCCCTCTAACTTTCCCGCTCTTTCTTCAAAAAAGGGCCTTCCCAAGCCTATAAACTCCACACCTTCTAGAAGTCGCTGCGCCTCCCGCGCCCACCCCCGCAAACGCCTCTCCGTTCGCCGATAAGGCCTCTTCCCAAGATAACGGTTTATTATTACGGCTGATAAGGTTGATTTATTTTGACAGGTTTGCACGGCTGACGCTGGGAAGATAGTTAACTGGAACTGAGGAGATCATCAAATCGCTGAAACGCCTGCAAATCCGTTTCTATCCATATCTGTTATCGGTCACTCACAGATCATCCTGAATCTGCGGTACCGTGATAACTCGCCAACCCAGCATACAAAAAGACATCTGGACAAACAAGGATCGCCAAAAACGCCAGATCGACCATCGCCACTACAATTCGTCGTCAGATCACCCCAGCTGACCCCGAACCCTCATTTGATAGACAAAAGTGTCACAAAGGCCCATTTACTTGGCTCTGAAACGAACACCCCACTACCTTCCCTAATTACCAAAAAAACAACAAAAACAACTCTCATCTACAATGTCGGCCCCTCGCAGACTGCGCAGCGAGTACTCCAAGAACGGCTGCAAAGAGTGCAAAAGACGGAAGATCAAATGCGACGAGTTCATCAACCCGCCCCCTGAAGCGATAAGGAAAATCAACAAACAGGGCAGAGTCGCCTGCTGGCAGTGCACGAGGCTCCGCAAGGAATGTGAGTATCCTTTGAAGGGGGAGAAGGTGGCTCGTGTGAGCCGAAAAGCCATGATGGAGCAGAAACGCCAGGAGGCTGCTGCCAACGGCGACGCTAATCCGTACGGACAAGGTCTACCTGGCCACGGTATGAACGGACTTGGAATCAACCAGGGCATGAACGGCCACATGCATGCGCCTGCTCTAAATGGCCTCGGTCAGCCCGGAATGAATGGTCTCAATGGAAGCTTAACTGGACAACCCGTGAACGGAGGCTACGGTCTAAATGGCTATGCTTCACAAAATGGGCCCAGCTACCAGGGCCAAAGCCCGCTTAGCGGCGGCTCCACATATCAAAATGGCCTCTATCCTCAAAACGCCCCGAGTGCTCCAAACAGCCTCAATGGCTACCTATATCCACACAACGCCCCTGCTGCTCCTAGCGCTCCTAACTTCAATGGCTACGGGCTCAATTTCCAAAACGGCCAGAGCAACGCCTTGAATGGTGCCTGGGACCACAAGCCCATACGGCTTCCTACCCCTGTGAACCGTCCTGAAGCCACATCTTCAGCGACTGCCTCGTCCACGACGGAACCTCCGGAACACGATGATCAGCCGCTTGACGGTCTAGCCTTTTACGACCAGCTGGACCTCACGCTTCTAGCGGCGGATTTGAACAATCTTGTGCTGGACATGATCTACGACGTCAACTACGAGCCCAAAACGGACCTGGAGCTGCAGCCGACGCCGCCAACCCCCACCTCAGAAGACAACGAGGGCAACTACTACGACTACATACCGAGAAACTTGCCGCTCGGGTACATAGAGGTGAGGAAGCATACGGAAAAGGCGTTTTTGCACGAGTTCTACCGTGAGTTTGCAAACATCATCTTGCCCTTCAACGCCTACGATGCCTCGGCCAGGTCCTTCTTTAATCCTGCCAGAGACATTTTGCTCAAATGTGCTCACAAGGAGCCTTTCCTTTTGGCGGCTGTTTTGGCTCAAGGTGCCAGATCCGTCTTTTCCAAGCTGGCGAATCCAGACGATGAACAGGCCTACTACTCGTACCTCCTGCGTTGTCTCAAGCTCCTCGGACCGGCTCTTGGGGATGCTGGGAAAAACGGCTTGGCCTTGGTGTCCAACATCGAGGCGGTTCTTTTAACGGTGCTTCTTTTGACCTCTTCCAACGCTGTCAATGCCAAACAAAACTGGAGACCACATCTCCGGGGCGCCAAAGACCTTCTTTTGAAACACAACAAGAACCGCCCGCTTACACGCAAGCTGAAGGTGTTGATCTTTTGCAAGTACTGGTTTGTTTCGTTTGAGATCTTGGCTGGTTTGGGCCTGAAGCTTGGTGGAACTGTCCATGTTGATGAGGAGCTTGATCTTTTGCTCAACTACGCTGATCCATACGAGGTTCAGGTGCTCACCGAGCTTGGCTTAATTTTGCCCAATGGCTTCAACCTCATCGGTGGTTACCACAACGACTGTGTGCCCCACTTGAGAGATCTCATTAAGCTTCTCAATAGAGGTCGCAAGAAGAGCCTCGATGGTGTTTCCACTACTGATCTGAGCCCTGGTGCTGTTTCTGGAGCAGGCAAGATTCCAGACATTTCCATCCAGTCGACCGAGTGCATTCGTCTTTTGGGTGAGTTTGAGAGAGAACGCAACAAGACTTTCTTTTCAACCTCCACCGTGATGTCTCCAGACGACTTCCCTAACGGCGTTATCCCTCAAAATTACCTACTCGACTCGGCAACTGTTGAAAGCACCAGAAAAATCGTCAGCTGGCTGGACATCTCCCAACAAGCCTATTGTTTGGCAGCTCTCATTACAATCTTGACAGACTTCCTTGGTGTGGCTCACGACCTGGTGCCAGTGCAAGAGTTGACGCACAAGCTTCTTGATCTCGTGTCGTTTGTTGAGTCACCCAATGGAGAACCTGTGCTTTTCAAGTACGCCCCTCTTATGGTGCAATGGCCTGTGCTGGTCGCTGGGCTTAATGTGGTGAAAGCAGAGGATGTCAAGACTGTGGAGAAGTTCTTCAGCGTGGCTTCTGAGGTTGGATCAGGATCTGCCGGGCATTCGTTGAAGATGATCCATAGACACTGGAAGAGACGGGAGTTTGCCTCCGACGACAGTGAGGAAGAGCATGTTGATGTTGTCAACTACTGATGTGGATACTAGGAAGTTCCCAGGGTGCTGGGTCACGAACTCAACGCTCTATGAACCATAGAACGACGGGGCTCTGGCAGTCTCGTCGATAATTAAAAATAAAAGAAAAAAAAAAAAAAGAAAACCAAAAACAAAAACCAAAAAAAAAGGAAGAACAAAAGTTGACCGAACTTCAAGTAGCTATCTATTGTTTGCAATGAATTTGAACAAACCCGTTATCGGTGTATTTAGCATATCCAACAGAACCGTAATAAGCTTTCGCCGTAACTTTAAATTCTGTCAAAATCCAATAAACTTTAGTATCCTTATCTCGAGTGGCTCCAGTGCCGTTTCCTTATCAGCATCCCGTCAATCCCGAAAATCCAAACCTTATTTCCGGCCGAAATCCGTCAAACCTTAAAGATCTCCGTTTAGACTTCCGATCACAACGCCATATGTGCCTCGTCTATGCTGCTGCATACCAATAAACTTTTGACTTGCGACGGCACGGCTGAAACTCAATTGTAACGCACTGCCCTGTAAATCGGTATTCTTGCGTTCGTAAATCGCTACTTTTTCAGTGTGGAGCCACAGTTTTCACGATCAACAAAGAACCCAAACGGGGTGGAATTACGATCATGTTTTTGTGTCATCGGTAAGCTTTTCCACAAAAACTACATGCCTGAGGAGGGGAACCTAAAGAAAATTTTGTGATTCTGGGGTGGAGGAGATGTTGATAATCATGCACAGACGGAGGTGAGGATACTACCGGGATGAGGAAGGGTAGTTTATGAATGGATGCAACTTCCCGGAGTTAAATAAACCTCTTTTGCTGCATATCCAAAAAAGGGGCTTTCAGGGACTCTGGACTTTTTTTATCCCCCACGGCTCACTTTTAGCAATTTCCGCCCGATTACGATATCTGTCAACAGACCTGGTTGTCTGGTCGACCAAATCTCGTCTAAAGCTTCCTAAAAAACCTGCCTAATAAACTATAGCCTCCGGGGCCATGTGGTCCGCCCCAAGTATCCTAACCATGGTTTGCAAACAAACCTAAATAACCTCACACTACTAAAAGATTACAGTTTTCAAAATTGCAGTTCAGAAGAAGGGTAATTCGAACATTCCTACAAAATTATAGTTCTACAAACTTGCGGTTTTGCAAAATTGCTGTTCTACATAACTGCTGTTCTACCAAATTACAGTTCAACAAAATCAAAGTTTTCAAACTTACAGTTCTACTAAACGACAGTTCTACAGAATTACTGTTCTACAAACTTACTGTTCTATACTTACCGTTCTATACTTACTGTTCTTCAAAATTGCTATTCTACAAATTGACACTTTAACAAAACTTCGTCTAATTCGTCATTCTATTCAATCAAACTTTTGGGGCTCCATCAAACTTTCAAAATTTTCCGGAGCTACGCCTCCAGGAGAAGCGTGTACCAGTTCAAGTTGTTGCCCGCAAGCTGCAACCTGGTATCATCAGCTTCCTTTTCCTCCTTCACAAGATCCTCCTGGATTTTCCAGCCCACTCTCTCAGCACCGGTTCTGGCGCCATCGAGATTGGCAGAAGTAGGCCCGATTCTCAAACTGGCGTTCTTGCCCACCATGTAAAGCGGCAACTCCTCACACCACTGGAGGTTATCCGTAAGACAAGGGAAGCCTCCCACAATGTCGATCGGGTAGTCGTTGATGATCTCGTCAAGGAAACCCAAATCGTGCAAATCAGGCAGAATACCCGTAGCACAAATGACATAGTCCGCATCGACATTGGTCACCTTGGGCTCCATGCCTTCTTCCCTGGTAACAAGATCCATGTTCCACATCTGGCTGTTTTCGTCAAACTGGCCGTTTTCCATCGTGGTGTACTTCATAAGCAGAAGACGTTTAGCCGCCTGGTGCTTGTTGATCTTCATGTGGTACTCGGGGTTGATGGACCCTCCGCCTCTGGCGTCCAAAATCAACTGTGCTCTTTCCTCGTCGGTGTCGAGCATGTAGAACGCCAGCTTCTTGACGTTTCTGTACTTGGTGACCCAGTCGAGGTGGAAATCGAAATGCTTGATTTTGACGGGCCCACGGAGAACCAACGTAACGTGGATTCCCTTGAGACAGGCAACGTGGGCGAGTTGTGCTGACGTTAAACCGCCGCCAATGATGACCAAGTGTGGTTTGGTCGTGGGAAGTTTCAGTCGAGGTTTCTTGGGCATAGTATTTGTAGATTCGGCTGGTTGGCTTTTGGAGTCCATGGAGGGAATATCTGTGGGTCCGATATCCATTTTGGGGTCGTTTTTCATGGAAGTAGGTGTCATAGGCTTCTCTTTCTCCATGGAAGTAGGTGCCATGGGCTTCTCATTCTCCATAGATTTGACACTTTCCATTGATGCTTTGTTCTCCATGGAATTATCACTCTCCATTGAAGCTTTCATGGAAGGCTCATTCTCCACAGAGGAGATGGAGGACATGGAGGAAACAGAGCCCGCCTTTTCTCCCATTTTAGGCAGACTAGGGCCCGTCGAGCTTTCGTCGTTCTCCTGCTTTTCACTCTCCATCATGCCATTCTCCATCTTTTCCATCGATTGCTTCTCCATCGATTCCTTCTCCATGGACTCCTCCATTTGGGCCTTTTCCATGGCCTGCTTCTCCTCGGCCATCTGCTTTTTCTTCTCCTCGGCCATCGCCATCTTCTCCTTCATTTCCTTAGCACGGGCCATTTTCTTCTTGCTCCGCTTCAGCTCCAAGTCGTTGGCGATATCCTCCTGGGTCATCTCCACCGCCTGGGTCAGGGAGGGTTCCATTGGGGAATTAACCTTAGCTGCTTCGGCCTTTGCCATATCCTTCTGAACCATATCGGTCTGAACCATACCGTTTTTGGCCATATCGTTCTGTGCCATCTCCTTCTTGACATCCATGGCTTCAGCCTTCAAGTGGTCCATCTTCTGCTCCATCTCTGGCTTTTCCTCCATTTTCTCCCTCTCCGGCTTTTCTTCCATCTTTTCCATCCCTGCCCTCTCTTCACGGGGCATCTTTTTCGAGGAATCGTCCCGGGAGCCTCTCAGTCCAGCACGCTTCTTCTCCCTCTCAGGCTGGATCTTCTCCACCAAACGGGGATGTGGAAAAGGCACTCTTTCATAGAAAATGTCCGTCGTGTGACATGAGGCATCCAAACTGGGCTTCTTCTCGCCCAATCCGCAAATCGGATAATTCACTTTTCCACGATGTCCACTCGCTACAACACACGTTTTGCAGCCATACATCTTGCCGCTTTCGGTCTTGATGACAAAGCCTTTTTCGACGTAGTTGCGGTCGAAAATGTGCAAATCCGTGTACTTCATGCTCACGACTTCGTCCTTCCGGACACAATTGTGCAAGCTGTAACGGTCAATAAGATCGTTGCAGAAATCACGGAAGAACGGCGTCAGCGGACGGTAGTAGTCTCGCCAGTCCCGCATGTTGATGTCCACAATGCCCAGACGATCATGGTTTCTGTTGCTTCCGCCTGCCTGGTCACCAATCACCGCAGGTTGTTTGTTCTGCTTCTTCTTCATGGTTCTCTTGATCTGGTGCTTCAGGTACTCCTTACCCACGACGTTCTGGATTTCCATAAGATCACGTTCCCTCTTTGTGCTATGAGCGTACGTGATCATTCCGTCAATATTCACGGGATCCGGATGAAAAAACATGGGCAGCCGTAAATGAGGGATCTGGCACGATCTGAACTGGTTGTCCCAGCCTCCCATGAACAGATCCAGAAGCGCATCCAAAACGAGGATATTTTCCGCCGTGAGTTTCGTAGGTGCCACGTACTTCAGCGTTTTTGTCATGCCCTTGTGGATCGTGCTGACACGGGACCCCCGGTTCTTCAACCAGTGGAATCTCTGGTGCTCCTCCTCGGTGTATATGGAGCCCGGAGCGTTTTCACATAGTCTCAGCGCCACGGCAAGCCCGCACGTGCCGCCGCCGACAATGACAACTTCAAAGAAGTTCTCCAGGTGGATATCGGGACAAGAATCGAATTGAGCCATAATGGGGACTCTGGGGAGGTGGAGGGTTTTATTTTGCAGCCATTCCTGCAGGGACAACCACCCTGGTGGTCCACCGATATGGAGGTTATCCAGCGTGGCGGGCTGGAGAGGATATGGATATGAGCAGATTTGAGGTTTTAATGAAAGGAGTTAGGTAATTGAGCTGGAGAATTGGTTGTGTGGTTGAAAGAGGAGGTGGTGTTGATATAATTGGTCTACTGATTAGGGATATTGATCTTGTGACAATTTACGACAATTCAAAGAGAATGATTCAACCTCAATTGCGGTGGTTTAGAGCCTGGAAATAGGGTGAAAATAGGGTTTGGGTTATCAGATGGTGCAGTGGATATGTGGATATCCCCGTTCTGGATCGTTTGGTACCGCACTGGTTGCTGCTTATCGTGGTTATCAGAACTCGGCCTCGGAGTGGATCGTGATAGGGTGAGCTTTTATGGCTTTTTCTGGGAATGTGATTTTCAGTGATCCTAGAATTCCCTTCATTCTACGTGTTTGTTTTGTTTTCTCTTTTCGAAAGCGGCATTAACGGGTGGCTGCGAAACACCGTAGTAGTTACCGTTTCTTGCTGGCACGCGAGGCACCCAGCTTATTGTAATTTGATGGTTTTTCGGATTTTTGGATTTGACGATTGGGAGGTTTTGACTGTTTAGACTGGTGGAAGCGGATCGAACGGACTACCTCCATTGAAAGTTGGTTATGATCCTGGAGTCTAGATCATGGAGGCACTAGAGTCACAAAAGATCGTTGACAAAATAGAACCCAATTGTCATTTCGTCAAAATCCATCGGTTCATCCACTTAATTCAAAAAGGTTTCATAAAAAAAGAACGCCCAGCTTGGAAAATATATACTCGGACTTCTCCACTGTGGCTCTCTCTTATCGTGCTGCATGGATCTGCGTTATCTACCCTGGGGGTGTCCCAAACCCCGAGCACCTACACCACAAAATCATTCGATAGAGCCACAATTCTCGTAATATGGTCTCTGAAAGAAAATCCTTCAACTTTTCCTTTTATTCATAAAACTACGTGGGTCTGTATCGCCATATCCTGAACATCTTATCAATAGTGTATTCATGCAGGCGATGAGACCCTCCATTTTCTAGAAACCCGTCAAATCAACAAATTCCAAATTATCACGTCTTTTTCTCTCTTCTGGAAACCTCCATCCCCCTTCCACTCTCGGCGATAAAAACACCCTTCTGGTCGAAACCACCCAGGTCCTACCGCATGTCTCAGATTTCTGCAATAGCAATTGTGGAGAAACACCAAAACAACCCAAATAGACCAATCAGCATTAGCCACCCTAGTAGCATCACCCTGATGGTTGGACCCTGCTGGTTCAACCCGGTTGGTCCAACCCGGCCGGTACGACCCCAGTGGACTTTTGGTGCTTCATGATTGGACAAAACAGGTACCCTGGTGGAAAAGAGTGGTACCCTGGGGCTTCCAAAACATGACCGTTTAACCAGTGCTGTACCAGTTTCAGGAAAAACAATAGACGTCACTGCACAACCCTGTGGGCCATCGTTCGCTGCATGAACCTTGATTTTCCTATACATCAGCTGATAGCCTATTCACCCTGGATAATGGCCAAAAGATCAACTGATTGCCTATTTGTTGAGGAAACCCTGGATGATGGCCAAAAGACCAACAGCACCGGGGTCAGGAACACCGCCTGCAAACTCCTCTTCGTTGACGTAGGAAGCACGACCAAACTTGGCCTGCAATTTGGCAGTATTGTCACAGGACTCCTTGGCAGCCTTCACCAGCTGATCCACATCGCCGGTCTCCACAAGCGTGTCCACAAATGGCTGCAAAGTGTCCACCAAGGTACGACCGCCCTTTCTGGCCTTGGTGTATTTGAACAAGCCCTCGTAGAGCGCATCCGACAAGGCCTTGCTGACCAGCTTGACGTCGATGGATTTGGCCTGCTGGAGGTTTTTGGCGAAACTCGTCAAAAAGATGGCATAGATACCGCCGGAAGTGCCGCCCATCTTGTCCTCGACGATTTCGGTGATGGCGCTTACTGTAGCAACGAGATCGTTGAGGTTCTCCTTGAACTGCTTGTCGGAGGAAAGAGCCTTCAAAATCGCCTCGGCGCCGTTTTTGAGCGTCTCTCCACAGTCACCGTCACCGACCTGGGTATCGTACTTGGTGATCTCAGGCTCCTTCGAAATCAACAACTCCATAGCTCTCTTGAGCAGCTCGCCAAAAGCAGCACCGTCAACCTTGGCGTCCAGTTTGGGGTACTCACCATGAGCCACAGGCAGCTCCTTGATCTCTGGCTCGGGCTTCTGCCATTGTTCGTCGGAGTAGATCTTGGGTTTCCAGCCTGGAGCGTTGGTGGGAGCATCCAAAAAGCCAAGAACGTCCTCCTTGGTGTAGGTTTCCGTGGCGGCCTTGTTCAAGTTGAGCAAGGTGATGGAGAAGCCCGGGCTGCTCAAGGAAGTGACAAAGTCGGAGATGTAGACTCTCGATGGCTTCTTCTTCAAGGGCACTCTGGAGATGGCGTAGTTGGCCAAGGCGTAGAGCTCGAGCGACGAGGTGCCGCCAATGTTGTTGATAAGCAACACGTAGTCGTCGTTGTCGCCAAAATCAAGGTAGTGTCTCTCCTTGTCGTTCTTGTCCAACAAGCGCTTGTACATCAAGTCCACCAACTCGGACGCCTTGGGAATAGGGTGCAACTTCTCGCCGGGCTCGTTGTGAATACCAAGACCGAGTTCAGCGGTATTTTCACCGGTGACTTCACCCTCGTCGCTGTCTCTTCCTGGAACAGTGGTTCTATCCAAAGAGGCACCCATAGTGACCAAAGCATCGTTCACGGAGCGGCCCAACTGAGCCAATTGCTCGAGTTCAGCACCCTCCTGGGCAGAAGCAGCACCCAACGCCTTGTGCACCAAGGCAGTGCCTGCAATGCCTCTTCTTCCCACCATTTCGTTCTGCGTTCTTCCAACGGCAACATCGTCCAGCACAGCGACAAGCTCCACCTTGTAGCCGTCTCTCTTGGCTCTCTCCGCCACTAGGCCAAAATGCAACACGTCTCCAGTGTAGTTTTTGACCACGGCAATGACGCCTTTCTGCTTATCTGCTGTCGCCTTGACACCCGCCATGATCTGTTTAGTGGAAGGCGAGGCAAAAATGGTTCCTGCCACGGCAGCGTCAAGAAGATTATCACCAACAAAGCCAGCATGGAGCGGCTCGTGACCCAGGCCGCCTCCGCTGATGATGGCGACTTTTGACTTGTGGTTCTTGTTGAACACCACCTTTTCAGAAGGAATAAGGCTGACGGCCGGGTTCAGCGCCACGAGGCCCCTCAATGCGCCCAACACGACATCGTCGTTTTCGTAGTTCCAGTGTTTGACCATTTTCTGAGTTGTAGGAGAAGAAGTGGTGTAAGGAAATGTGGTGGAAGTTTGAGAATAGGCGGATTGGGTGAGGTTTATGTAGGCAGCAGAGGTGAGGTAAGGAGGTTGGTCACAGGGTCGTACACACTGGCCAGGGAGTTGCTGCAGTGGATTTGCAACAATGGGGTGATTCGGGGCTTACGAGGATTTATGGATTGATGAAGTATTTTCGAGGATTAGTGGAGGTTTAGTGGGGGTTTTGAGGACCCTTCTCGAGACCCATGCGCACTGACGTAATGGGGATGGTGGTGGAAGCAAGGTCCCTGGAGTAGGGTTTGTAATATGTGGGTTTGAAGGAGGTTGATGGAGGTGGTGATTTTACGTTGTGAGTTGTTTCTCGTGTGGAAGAATTGGCCTGATTGGGCTCGGCGTTTGGTAGGTAGTAGGGGTGGTTATTTGTAGTGTTATGTGGTTGTCCATCTGGGTGGGATGTGGAAGGTTTGTTTGATGAAGTTTGTCGAATTCCATTTGGTTCTAGTCAATTGATGCATCTTATGGTGTTAGTGGAAGATCCAGGTACAGATTGGTTAGCAGAAGAGAGACATCTAGAGCTTCACTTGTGGAGTAGCATACTCTCAATTCGATTGAATCCAGCTTCGATGTTCAAGAATCTCTCGAAAAAAAGCATTCCTTACGTGAACGTATCAATTGAATCTACTACCAGCATGTTGGAGGCACCTTTGATGCCTATAGTGATGGTGACGCAGAATCGCCTATACCTCGCATCTCGAGAGAGTTTTTCGGTTTCTACGGGTCCGGATAGGCAAAAAGACGAATTTCACAACGCACAGGCCTTCTGGGGAGCTCATAATTTACGATGATCTTCTTGTCAAGAAGGCAGATATAATGAAATGGTTTGGCTAGAAATAATGTGATTTCTTTCATCAATTATTGGTGGTTTCTTTAAATCCTTGAATCTCACTTTCGGCGGGCAAAAAACGACAAATTTTGAAATTTAAAAACATTTATACGTTCTTTACACCGCCTTCAAACAGAATCCCGACTATTACCTCCCTATCACGTTCCCTTGTGGAACAATTGCTCATAAACAGCAGAATCGCATCGCACCCTAGGCACCTCCCTTTGGTTTCCTGGGATTCTGCGGTATCGTGAACTAAGCTTGTGGTGTACGGGTCTATTGCAGGTCCCACCAGAGCCATACTCAACAGATCCACCATAAAGTGACAAAAACGGGGGGAGTTGCTATGTAGCTGATAAGCAACCAGCTGTTTGAGCGCCCCTTGTATCAATTGACCAAATTCGTGTGTCAAACCCACAATGCCACGAACCCTACCTATAGTCCACCTCCAACAAACCACACCCTTGACGCTCTCCAAATCGAAATCAATGCCAAAACCTCAATATTTCTACCAATTCCTTCACCACAAACATCCCCCAAAACCTCTCCCCTGCTATTCCTTCTTTAAATCACCTTTTGTTTAAGAAATATCCCCCACCTCACCTGACTACACAGCCCTCTGGCCCTCTCTTCCCCCAATCTCCATTTCACACGGCTTTCACGACCCCCTAGGCACCGCCAAGCCGGAATACGAGACGACACTGTCCATCTTCCATTATTGCATCCACCTCCCATTCACAAGAATTGTGTCGTTTCGCAGCCATAATGTCGGGGTATTTCGCAACCGAGCGGCATTCTGAGACATGGTCCGTAAACGGCATTAATGAGAAACACCGCCAAAAAACGAACCTTTAATACTACGCAAAAAGTCCACTCCACAGAAACACTCAGAAAATCAACAATTCTCTTCAAAAAACGCTATACCCCATTTTTAATACCGCCTTGGTCTCTCGCACTTTCCTGCCCTGGAAAGCCGGCTTCTCCAGATCTCGAGGTCATCTCGCACTCTCCTGCCTCCATCGCCCCACATCAACAACTCATCAGACACCAACACCCTGGATTAGGCCGATAAACTCAAAACAAAAAAGCCAGAATTGTCATATTTGTACTACTACAAAACCACTCCTTTCACCCATAATATCCAAACATGGCCAAGGCGCTGCGTGCCAATAAGCTGAAGACCTTCACGGGCTGCTTCACCTGTCGTTCAAGAAAGATACGCTGTGATCTCCAACGACCAACCTGTCAGAATTGCAAAAAAGCCCATCTCACGTGCCTGGGCTACGACATCAAGCTTCGGTGGTCGCTTCCGGTGCAATTTACGCCAAAGGGAAGAAACCCTGTACAGCATCCGGTGAAGTTTCCAGAGTCGGAAAACGACAATGCCGAGCTGGGTTTCTTCCAACGACGCCACGTGGGTTTTGTCACTTGGGACGAAAAGAAGAACTGTAAACCGTACGAGACATACGAGGAAATGGATAACCACTTGGCGGACTTGCAGAGCTTGAAAAGACCAGCCGAGACGATCCTTCGAGGTCCATTTGGTGTTTTTAGTAAAGAGAAGCGAAGAAAAAAGGCTAATCAAAACCAGGTGCCGGCAGTGCAAGAAGCCGACGCCCTACTAGGCCACGACCAGCTCTGGTTATCCAATGAGCTCAAAGACCATGCTTTACTTACAGCTGCGGCATTGAACGGAGACACACAGTTTCTAGATCTTGTGGACTCGCTTCCGAACTACTCGCCGGGAAACTCAGGGTACCCTACAAACCCTGAATCTACAGACTTTCTTAATTTGGTCTTTCACAGACACCAGGGCAACCTGTCGAACAATCTTCTGCCACAGGTTGGCAAAAGCACACCCTCTTCGATGAACAGCATCCTCAATTCGGACGAGGGCTCCATCAACCCGAATAACCAGCATTTGTTCTACTCGAACTACAACAACTTCTTCTACAACAACCCGTACCAGCTCAACAAAACGTTGGAGATCCAGCTTCATGCCTCGGCCCATCCGCTGAAAAACGACGACGACGCCACAGACATGGTCGAAGGCGAAAACTCCACATCCACGCATATGCCCGAGGATATCATGTCCATAGTGCAGCGTCCGCTTCAACCCAAGCTCGGTTTCGACATTTCCTTGCCCAAAAACGGCGTTGTACTTCCAACATCAGCGCTTCAAGTGCAGCCGCTCACAAGGTATCTTCTTAATTACTACGTCACTCAAGTTGCCGATCTCATGACGGTGATCCCGCTTACAGAAAACCCATGGAAGACCATCTACTTTCCAAGAGCCTTGATGGCCATTGGCGAGCTCAGTGCATTGGGAAAGACATCCACAGCCAAAAACGCTTTACTAAACGCCCTTCTTGCGGTGGCAGCATTCAATCTCCAGAGTAAGTTCCCCAAAAACTCCGATCCCATGAAATTCTACCTCAACCTCGGTATCCGGCTCCGAAACCAGGCGTCCGTTTTCGTCAAAACCCTTTTGGGCTCGAAAAGCGGAACCCAAAGCAACGTCGAACGCTGTGTGGCCAACGAAAAATACAAGGACGTGCTATGTGCGGTGATGTCCATGATCAGTGTGGACTTGGTATGGGGAACAATGCAAGACACCAACTTCTACATCAAGTGGTGTGAAAAGGTGATTTACACGAAAATGAGAAACAAGAAGAAGCTCTCGCCCAAGGCCCGGATCATGCACCGGATCTTCCTGTCGTTGAAGTTGATCCAGGATCTGACATGCCTTGATTATGCGAATATCAAGGAGGACTACGAGTTGACAGCCCGGTTTGGCTACGACGTGCGGTTGCTGTTTGAAAGAAGCAATTTCGACAAGGAAGGAACAAAGGGCCGCATCGACTATATCATGGACACCAGGCGGGTTTCGTCGCCGATGTTTGTGAATAAAAAGTTGATCAACACCAACAAGAACGACGAGAATTTCGCCACGGATGCGCTTTACGGGCTTCCCAATTCGTTAATTGTCCTCTTCAGCGAGACAGTGCTGCTTCTTCGGGAAAAGATCCACGACAAGGAGGCCAAGGGGCCTGCGGCAGATTACAGCGATCGGGTGCAATCGCTAAAAAAGAAGCTCAGTGTATGGAAATTAGACTGGAAACTCTACGACACCGAGGCTTCCGGAAAGCACAAATTCTACACGCTGATGCACGAGGTGACGTACCACCATATCATGTCGTTCTACCATGCTCTCAGCATCTACTTTGAGCGACTCATTGAAGAAACACCGCCCGAGCTGTTGCAGGACAAAGTGGGGCAGACGCTCGAGCACCTCAACCTGATCCAGCGGCTTATTTCCAAAGACGAGGCCCACATCATTCCGCTCTTCTGGCAGGGGTTCATAGCCGGGTGCGAGGCGGTGACGTTGAATCTTCAGATGGGCTTCAAGAAGTGGGGGGCCGACATTGCCCAGTATTTGGGTTCGTACTGGGGCGCCCGGCAGATTATGCTAGAGGTGTGGCGGCGAAAAAAATTACAGGAGGCCCGGGCCGACTGGGTGAGTGTGATTCAGGACTGGGAGATGAACTTGATGTTGAACTAGAGAATGTGGAGGAGGCTCGGCGATGGCGGAGTGAAGGGGAATTGCAGAAGGGTGAAGTTGGAGAATTGCTTACAAGTGAAATTGGGGCAGTTGCTATGTCGTGGACTCGGCAGTTGCTCTATTCACGTCAAGCCTGCTTCTGTCATTAAACAAACTTCGTGACATCTGCACACGATGCATCCAAACCTAAAAGCTAGAAATGTCCAACAACACTGCCTGAAACGGATAGACGAAAATCACGAGAAACGCTATTCCCGGGTTGTGCAGAGCAACCATTCGCCTAAGTTTGTCTTGGCTGGGGCTTAAGTTGGTGCCTGAGCGGTGGCTGCGAAAAATAGCCAGTGGTGGTTGGAGGGTCTGGATTTCGCAGCGAAGAATTGCAGCCATTTCATCGCGACGCGAGGAACTAGGCGGAGGCACAAAGCGAAAGAAAAACAACGAAAGAATAACAAACGAAGAATGGAGAGGCTGAAGGCGATTTCATTTGGCGGTGTCGTCGTCAAACTTAATTATTGCTATTGCTTAAAGTCTGCTCAACGCTGCCCCTTGCCATTAGACTTTCCCCCGATTCTGCTTAATTGCACCCGGTCCTGCCTGGGCTGCGATCCTGGCGCCGATTTCTCTGCAATCGCTGCGATTTTCTGCATTTTTTTCGGCCTTTCTGCATTTTTTCTGCCCACCGCTGCCCCATTTCACCTGCAACCGCCATTCCGCACGCCGTTTGCTGAAAAAACCACCGCCTCAGTCCGCGCGCCAGGCACGGAACATCTCCATCGCGGCATACCACCGCCTGACGCCGAGGCTGAAATGGATCCACCAAAGCCGGGCGAAGACGACAAACGGCAATCCGGCAATCCGGAATCCGGCAATCCAGAAGGCATGTCGTTCCAAGCCGACCTTTCTTTGCCCAATGGGGAATCCACGGATTTGCTTTTGGTTGCTTCGTGGTAGCTTAAACCATAGCCTTTTTGGCTGCAACTGAGGAAACGGCTCGCTCGAAATTAGCACCCAATTCGGCTCTAGGCCCCCAGACAGGCGTAATTAGTCCAGGCCTGGGTTTCGCGACTCTTCCCCAGATAGCCCTCGGCGCGGCGTGTTTGTTTGTTTTTGCATCGCGAACACGACATTTTCTTCTGATCCATCACCAAACACGTCAAAGCCATCAAGAAGGGACGCTAGCACGCCTCTCCCCGACGCGTGTGGGCCGGCTTCTGTGCTCCCTCTTCCGTCTATAAATATGGACCCATCCCCCTCGTTTTTCCGATCATCAATCAACTGGTCTTTCCATATCTACTACATCACCAACTACCGTCTATCGCTATGAAGTACTTCGTTTCCGCTGCTATCCTCGCTGCCTCCGTCGCTGCTGCTGCTTCCGAGTCTGCCGCTCCCCTGGTTGAGACTGTCACCAACGAGCACACTGAGGAGGTGACCATCACTTCTTGCTCTGGTGTTGAGTCCTGCAAGACTCACGTCACTGCTGCCACCCAGACCGTTGTCACCGAGACCGTTGACGGTGTCAAGACTGAGTACACCACCATCTGCCCAGTTTCCGAGGCCACCCCAGCTACTCCAGCTACCCCAGCTACCCCTGATACCCCAGCTGAGGCCTCTACCCCAGCCACCCCAGCTACCCCAGCTACTCCAGCTGAGAGTGCCCCAGCTGCTTCTGAGCCAGTCAAGGAGTCTGACACTGTTCCTCCAGCTCCAGCTGTCTCTGAGCCATCCACCCTTGCTGGTGAGCCAACCACCGCTCCAGCTCCAGCTCCAGGTGCTTCCGAGCCAGCTCCAGCCCCAGCTCCAGGTGCTTCTGACACTGCTCCAGCCCCAGCTCCTGCTGCCTCTGAGCCAGCCCAGGGTTCTGCTCCAGCTCCAGCTCCAGGTGCCTCTGAGCCAACCACCCTCGCTGGTGAGCCAACCACCGCCCCAGGTCCAGCTCCAGCTGCTGAGTCCTCTGACTCTGACGTCATTGTTGACGCTACTACTACCCCTACCTCGGTCACTTCTGTTCCTGTTGAGGCTACCTCTTACGCTCAGCTGACCTTCACCTCTGTCCACCAGTCCCAGGGTTCTGGTAACGCCAGTGTTTCCGCCTTCGAGGCTGGTGCCAACAAGCAGGCTGTCGCTGGTGCCGCTTTCGTCGGTGTTGCCGCTTTGTTGTTGTAAGAGAACAAGCCGGTTCTTGGGTTTTCATGCATTCATCATAAAATATAGGATTATTTCGTAATACCATTTACATTAGAATTTGCCCTGTAGCCTACACATCATTGACGACATTTTTCACTAAGCCAAGCCGGCAATGCAGCTACACCGATCCAGAATTTGTCACCAGCAAGAATCCGAAATTTCGCCCTTGGCCATTTTTATTTATAGAAATTCTAGATCATAGTCAGATGGCACATTCAGGGTGATCGGGATCTGGCAATGCAAATCCGCCGTTTTTCAGAAATGTTCAAACTTTAGCCGAGCAAGCAAAAGATCATACTCTAAACGGCCAAAAGCTAAATCTACAATCATTCTAATCCCTGTTTTATTGCATCGACCCATGGGCCGTATTATCTAAGCTCTAAGCTCTATGAAGCTGGAACAGCGTTCCAATGCATGCCGGCGTCGCCGACTAAGAAAATTTTGAAAGTCACAACTCGTCATTGATGTTGGTCTTGCCCTGTGGAACGTAAATGGCACGTCCCACGTACACATTCCACCAGCCGTCGGCATAGTACAACACATACTCAAAGACCCTTTTTGGGAAGCGGTAGTAAATGTCCCAGATAAACCAAAGAGCGGCCTTGACGTCCTCGAGTTCTTCCCAGAAGCCCTGAGTGCGGCCCTTGACGTTGACAATTCTGCCTTCGTCGAAATTGTCCTTAGCAAACACCTCAGAGGCCTCCTTCAAGGCCTCCTTGGATGGCTCTTTTTTGGTCACAGGCAGGAAAGCCACAAATGGGAACTCGATGCCCTTGTCGTGCAAAGGCTCGTAGTCACCGTGCTTCACCTTGCCAGCAGCCACATCCTCCAAGTGTTGGAGGTACATGGACTTGAAGTTGTTGATGGCTTCCACAGACTTGGAAAGACGGTCGAACGTGTTGAAAAGCGCCACCAACTCGATACGGCGGAACTTCAACAAGTGCTGGGTATTAGGGTCCTCGGACTCGAAAAGCACCTTGAGCGCCGTACCGTAACCGATGGTCTGGAGCTTGCCCCACATTCTGCAACGGTCACAGCCGACGCAGTCCATGATGGCAGAGACGTTTTTGAAACGAGAGCGGAACTCGTTCTTGAGGTCTGGGGAGCTCTTGATGGGGTCGAAAAGAGAGTGTGTTTCAAAGAGCACCTGCGAACTCAAGGTGTTGTTGATGTTGGAGAGAAGATCGGCGTACACGGCAGGACTGACGTCCTCGTTCGTACGCAACTGGCTCTCGTCGCCGCTGGTCGACTCGTGGTTCTCTTTGATGTAGGTGGGAAGAGACACGATATCGGACAATTTCACGATGGCCTGAGACACCAACGCGTAGTTGAAGTAGATGTTGGAGAGTCTGTCGTTGAACTTGCCCACCCTCTCCATGAAAACCTTCAAGTTAGGGTGGAACTCCGCGGTTTCGGCGTCCAAGTACTCGTTGGACAAGTGCACAGCAATGGAGGCGTGCATGCCCGAGATCAACCTGTAGAACAAGTTCTTCTCCACACACTGCTCGGGCTCGGAGTCCGGCAGCATCGACATGGGGTTTGTGTTTGGGAAGCAGTTTTCCGAGTAGATGGCCTTCCAAACATCAAAGGACTGAGCACCGCCGTATCCGGTGAATCTCTCTGGGTTCTCCTTCAAATCGACAAAAACGCAGTTGTGGTCGTCGTCAATATGACAGTAGTCCAAATCTTCACACGTATCGGCCTCGTCGTGGGCACTAGAAGCTCTCAGAATCTCGCCTAGTTTCGAAGGCGAAAGATCGTCTGGAATATCCAGCCAGTTGAACTGCTCCGGCAGCAACACCTCCACGGCACAGTTGCGTGTGGCACAGAAATGCTGAGCATTCCAGAACTTACACTGTTTGTCCAAATCGAGCTTGAAGAACCGGAAAAACGGTTTCAGTATCAAATCGACCACCAGGTCTCTGAGCTGGCTGTTGACGGCATCGATATAGGAAAATGTCGTGTTACACGTGGGCGTGATGATTTGCAGACAAAAGTCTGGCGAGTCAAAGGGCGAAAAAGCCGCTGTAGCTAGCGTGGCTAGGAATAGGAGGAAAAGGTTCATGGAGGTTGTTAGTTGCAAAATCGCTGGCCTTATCAAAGATGTGGTCACGTGACTGCTGGCGTTCTTTTTTTCTGTCGCTGTCTCAAAGCTTTGTCAGCCTGAAAAAGCAATGCCCGAGCGTTGCGACTGCTTATAGGGTGAGTTTATAAGGAATTAGTAAAAATGACAGGTGTCGCCAGGTGGCCTTTTGGTGGTGGGTGGCAAAATAGCGAAGTTTACCAAAGTGGCGAGATTTCAATAAAGTCGGTCTTTGGGGTTTTTGAGGTTTTTGGTCTGACTTAATAGGATTCGTGGAATGCTGTAGAAGTCGTCGTGTGACTGAGGCGGCGTTAGGAAAGTGCACCCTGAATCAGGCGACTAGAGTTTCCTGGGCAACGACGATATGGTGTTTTCTGGAAATTCCAGCATCATCACGTTATGGTGATTTTTAACGTTTTTGGTAACTGATCTTGGTCTTTTGTCCATTGGTCCACTGGGTCTAACTGTCTCACCAGACCTTGCAGCCAATGCATGCGATTACATGGATACACCAAACGACAAACTCCCGAGGCAGAAGTCAAAAAAACTAAATTTTCCCAAAATTGGGAACTCCTCAACCCAACCCCCAAATCCAATTCAACCGAACCACTCGGACCCTGTGGCTGTGCCCACGTTTCTTTGTTGAGCGAATTAATCAATGAGCAATACCTCGAACACTGGCTCACCAGCGCCACGGAAATGCGCTCACAGAAACCAGAATTTGCCAAAACACATCTCTAAGAAAATCAAGAGCAATTTGGCAACCTCCCCGAAGGAATCCCGAATTTCCCGTCCTGGAAAATCCCACCCAACCTTATTCAATGGCGCCCAATGCCACCCAACTCCGCAATTCGCTTCGACCTCCGCTGGGATCGGCGATCTGGGATCCATAGTGGTCCCTGGATCTGCGGAAACTATAGCCCGGCCAAGCGGTGCCGAGAGTTGCGTGGTCTAATAAAACGTGGAAGCCACTGCCACAAAGCCCATGCCTCCCGCTTAAACGAGGGCGATGGAGGCTTTCCATGCGATGAATGCTTCAGGCTTTCCAGGCTCAAATCAGATATTCTTGTTTTTGGTAAATTTTGGGGCCAGGGGTGTGCACGTGGACCTGAGTCCGATCTGGCACGCTTTGTGTTTCTCGGTATGGACCTCCACAATAGACGTCAGAAAGTATAGCCGTGCAGGCCCCCACTGTGGCCAGGAACCTGTGGGGGAGGGCTTCACATGGGTGCAAAAAATACTGGATAACGAGCCTCGCTACTGCACAACCTGCCTCCAACCGGTTCCACGCCCGCACGGCCCTAGTTAATATGTCAACCGTCGCCTTCCATGCATACCCCTCGATGGGTGCAAAAAAACCAAGAACTACTACCATAAAGCTCGGAATCGGAATCGGAATCCTCGTCCTCGTCCTCCCTGTGGCTTCAGCTCCCCACAAATAGTCCTCCTCCTTAGCATGTACATGAAGCGCAATTCAGACATGTGGCGCCGCTACCACTTGTACTTTCTCGTCCGTAGCGGCTTTCTATAAATGCCCAGGTCTTCCCGGGTGCTTTTCCACCAGCCATGTTGGCACACGCTGTGATCTCGTTCGTTGCCCTCGCGGCCCACCACCAGCACACGCTCTTGGTGCTCTCCACAGCGGTGTTTCTCTTGTGGAAGTTGTACATCTATCCGTTCCACGTTTCTCCACTCAGGAGGGTGCCAGGGCCCTACTTCCACCGCATATCCACGCTTCCGTGCATCCTTGCACAGCACCAGAACCGCTGGGTCCGGAAGATCCACACTCTTCACGAGCAGTATGGAGAGATTGTCCTTCTAGGTCCCCATGAGGTCTCATGCAACGGTGATCTCCGCTACATCAACGACATCTACGTCAAGAACATGCCGAAGCTGCCGTTCTACAAGCACTTCCAGAACCACGGCCACGACAATGTGTTTTCCACCGTGGAGAACGGTCCGCACCTCAAGTACAAGAAGATGATGCTGGGACTATACTCCAAACTGGCCATTCTTTCAAACCCGGCCACAAGAGATCTTCTCGTTCTGAAGGCCGCCCAGCTCGTCAACAGAGTGCATGTTTCGCTGGTGACAGCGCTAGAGCCCGACTGGATCAATGCTCGTCTGGAAATGAACCATAACGGAAAAGGCCACAAGGAAGGATCCCACGAATGGCTCCCACAGAAGCTGTCGAGCCTTGGAATCGACATGTACCTGCTTTTCGGCGCCTTGGCCATGGACGTGATTTCTGCGTTCGAGCTTGGGGTTAAAAACGGCACGGACTTCTTGAACGATACATACAAAAGGCAGATTTTGGTGGACTTCAGGACCAAGGAGCTCCTGACGCTCGGCCTGATGCTTCTCCCGCTGCTCCACTGGCTTCTTGCAGGTCCACGGATCATGGGGGCCTCGGCGGCCGTGGAAAAATGGCTTCTTTCAACCTTCAAAAGCGCAGAATACGACCCTGAGCTCTCCAGACCAACCACGCTCAGTGCACTCAAGAAAAACGGTCTCCGGGACAAAAAAGCGTATTCTTTCCTCAGCGACAACCTCATTGCTGGCCATGAGACGTCTGCTATTGCACTCACTTACATCTGCTACGAGCTTTCCAGACCGGTGAACCGGTTCAGACAAGAACGGTTGCAAAACGAAATCAGAGAGTACTTTGGTGCTCCCGACGGCAGCATAATCGACGCCATCGAGCAAGTCGACCAGCTTCCTTATTTGGAAGCGTTGCTCAAAGAAAACTTCCGTGTCCACACCTCGGGAGTCGGTTCCATGCCCCGAATCACTCCATCCACTTATGAGGTCCACACAAACAACGGACCGGTGGAACTTCCAAAAGGTACAACCGTCTCCTGCCAGGCGTACTCGTACCACCGCAAAAACGACATTTTCCCGCATGCTGAAAGCTGGATTCCTGAAAGATGGCTTCCTCAGCCGGGAGAACTGAATGAGGACTACAAACTCAGAAAAACCCACATGTCCAAGCACCTTTTGCATTTCGGCAAGGGCATCCGCATGTGCTTGGGCAAGGACTTGGCGCTTATAGACATAAAATTGGCTTTGGTCAATTTGTACTGGCGGTACAACTCACAAATCAGCTCCGACTGGTGTGAGGTGACGCAGTATGAAGAAAACGTGAAGGTTGGCAATGCCGTTCGGCTCGACGGAGCCAAACCACTGTCCAATTCTGACGAGGAGATGATGGCCATGGTGGACGGTTTACTGGCTAAACCCCGCTGTGACGAGTGCTGGCTTGAATGGAGCCTTCTGGGGTGGAAGATTTGAAAACCCCAGACTGGAAAATTAGCAAAAACCCAGACTGAAAAACGCCAGACTGGAAAATTTAAAAAGAACCAGACTGAAAAATTAGCAAAACTAGGTTTACAATCGTATGCGCAATAGATATTATACAAGGCTATTTATCGTCAAGCTAGGCGGCTTCTAATCGTCAGACTAGACCACTTCTAATCACCAAACTAGACCACTTCTATTCGAAACTAGACCACTTCTAATCGTCAAACTTGATCTTCTTGGCCGTCTTGGTCATGTCCACGTCCTTGAAGAAAGCGCCGTACACAGAGTGGGCCTTCTTCTTGGTGTGGCCTCCAAACTTGAGCAACTCCTCTGGAACAGGCTGGTTGGCTCCTCTCAAGATGTTGATCAAGGCTCCACTCAAGTGTTTTTCGTGCTCCGTAAAAAGCGTGTGGGCGGTACCGGTCTGGCCAGCTCTGCCTGTTCTGCCGATTCTGTGAACGTAGTCCTCGGCAGTAAGTGGGAAAGTCAAGTTGATCACCACCTTCACGTTGGGGATATCGAGACCTCTGGCGGCGACGTCGGTGGCCAAAAGAAGGTTGGACTCGCCGTTTTTGAAGGCATTGAGCGCCTGGGTTCTCTGCTGCTGAGAGAGATCACCGTGAATGGCTGCAACGTTGAACCCGGCTCTCTGCAACGAGTTCTCCACTCTCAGAGCCTCCTTCTTGTACAAGGCGAAAATGAGGATTTTGTCGTTCTTGTTGGGACCCAGCTGGTACTTTCTGATCAACTGCACGAGCCTCCTCTCCTTGTCTCTGGGCTCCATCACCTCCACAATCTGTGTGATTCTCTTGTTGGCAGAAAGCTCGTCTCTCTCACCAATAGTCACCTTCACAGGCAGCGTCATGAATACAGAAGCCAACTCTCTGACCTCCTTGGGCCATGTAGCTGTAAACATCAAGGTCTGACGGTTCTGCTTAGCAGGACACTGGCCAATGATCTGCTTGATGTGCTGCTCGAATCCCTTGTCAAGCATTCTGTCGGCCTCGTCAAGCACCAAGTAGTCGATGCTCGAGAGGTCCACCAGACCGTCCTCCAAAAGATCCACCAATCTGCCTGGCGTAGCCACAGCTATACTGGCATTCTGCAACTTGTCGATCTGGTCCTGTTTGCTGACACCACCGTAGATGGCCACACACGAGATGCCGGCGTTTTTCGTCAATTCCGCCAAACTGTCGTGGATCTGGAGCGCCAATTCTCTAGTTGGAGAAAGACAGAGCACCTTGAGGCCCTTCTTCTTCTCCTTCAAAATGCTGTTCACAGCAGGAACACCAAAAGCAAAGGTCTTACCGGAACCCGTCTCGGCAACACCAATGACGTCTTTTCCACTAAGCAAAAATGGCCACGAGGCAGCCTGGATAGGTGTGGGTTTGGGGAACTTGGTGATGACCTTCTGGACCTCGCTGATGAAATCCACATGGTCAAACAGCAAAAGCGGACGCAAGTTCAAGCTGTGGGGGTCCTCGATGGCCACTTCGTTGGTGTCCAAGAACTCCTTGACGTCGCTTTCCAGAACATCACTGAGAGCCTTCTTCTGGGAGTAAGCTGAGGAGTCGTTGGAAGGAGCAGGCACCTCAGACTTTTCTTCCTTGTCTTTCTTGTCCTTTTTTTCCTTCTTCTCCTTTTTCTCCTTCTTATCCTTCTTATCCTTCTCCTTCTTATCC